CCTCCCTCCCTCTCTCTCTCTCTCTCTCTCTCTCTCTCTCTCTCTCTCTCTCTCTCTCTGTGTTCATGTTTATGTGAGAGAGCATACACATGCATGTGGAGGTCAGAGGTCAAATGGTTGTCCTTCATCAGGTGCTGGCCACCTTGTTTTTTGAGATAGGATCTCTCACTGGGACCCAGCGTTCAAAGGTTAGTCGAGGGTGACTGGCCACCAAGCCCTAGCGATCCTCTTGTCTCTGCATCCCCAGCACTGGGGTTATAAGTGATTGTCACCATGCCCAGCTTTTCACATGGGCACTGGGAATAGAACCCATGACCTCACTCCTACACAGCAAACCCCTTTCCAGCTGAACCATCTCCCCAGCCTGAGGGCATGACATCAGCATGGTGAAGGCCCCATCCATGTACATGGTGGAAAATGGGATGAGCACGTTGATGGAACAAACAGCCTCCCTGTGACAAGGGCTCTTGAGGCAACCAATCCAGCTCCAGAGAAGAATGGCCCCGATGGCCCACGCATCTCTTGGAAGTCCCGCCACCTCTCAACACCGTTTCATCGTGAAGCAAGGTCAACATGAGCTTCCCAGGAGACAAACTGCATCAGGACCCCTGACATCCTGTAGCCAGTGTCTGCCCATTGTGATAGATGCTAGGTGACGAGAGAGAGGAAGAAATTCACTGTCTCCCATCCCCTCAACCCCCCCCCCCCCAGTCAGAAACTCAGCAGCTCTTGGGTGCTTCTGAGGACAGTTTTGGGAATCTAGGAGTCTAACTGGATGATGTCCCTGCCTCTGAGGGCTGCAGGTCACACTGCCCAGGCAGGGCCTGAAAGTGGGCCGTAGCCTCAGAGGGCCCCAGTGTCTGTACAAAACTATCTGGGGCTGCACTCGTGGGAAGAGTCCTGACAGCAAAAGCCGAGATGACCCTGACGTTGCCGGTGCTTTGTAGAAGACGCCCCAGAATTCCGCATCAAGAGAGACTTGCCACAAGCCGACTGACATCTGCCCAGAGCCGGGCATTTTTCTTTGTTAACAGTGTGATAGGAATCACTAATCTATTTCATCTTCATCCTTCAGAGGGGAGTCCATTCATCCTCTAGATCTGCGGGAGGCTAGATTCAGGAACCCCTCAGATACCAAAATCTGGGGTGCTTGAGTCCTTTTAGAAGATGGCGTACTATTTGCATCTAGCCTGTGCCCACCTTCCTGTGACCCTCCTGCCATCTCCAGGTGACTAAAGCTAAGAGCTTCACGTGCTGTCCTGGGAAGGAATGCACAGGAGAAAAGGATCTGGGCACGTTCAGTGTGGATGCAATATTGTCCTCAACGTTTCTCATCCGCAGCTGATTGAGTGCACAGATCTGGAGCCCAAGGACACAGACAGCCATTTTATATGTCCCCTTGACACCCTAATGGACTGCTGCAGGGGCTGCTGGGTCAGAGAAATGGCCAGCGTGGAGGGTCAGGCAGGAACTCTGGGGAACACACAAGCCCTCCGTGGAGATGTTGGGCCAGCTCTCCAGCCTCCTCTGGGATTGGAGTCTGCCTGTGTCTCTCTGCCACTGGTCCTTGGTGGGTTGGTGGCTTCAGACATCTATCAGTTCTTTGCACATGGACAGCCCCCTCTGCCTGAAACATGGTCTCTGCTGGTCTTTTCCCAAGCCAAGGTCCCGAGGAAGGGAGTCATTTGTGTGGACTCCTGACCTTAGAAGTGACATTCTTTGACAGTGGCCCAATTCTACTTAGTAGACATGAAGCACTGGGTGGCAGGGGTCATTGAGAGACTTCATGCCACACTAGCAAATTGGCCACCACTCACATGCTGCAGGATGACTGTCCTTCCCCTGGCTGGTGCAGGAGCCACCCCTCACCCACCTCCCGAAAGTTACGGGTTTCTCTCTTTGGGGAAGAGGTCCCTCACTCCCAGGACCTGCTTAGCCATCCATCTTTGCCCCTTTTCTCCCAGCTCTATCCCATCATCCCAGCTGCCCGAGGCTTTCTTTGCTTTTTGCTTTTACGTATGTGAAAGGTAGCAACTATCTGCACAGACTCTTCAAACAGCCAGGGTGGGATCACTGTTCTCTTGAGGCTGGAGGGATGGCCCGCTCTGGAGCCTTACACAGGCTCTAACTCCACTCACCCCCTCCCTGGGATCCTGCAGGTGGGCAGGATCATTTCAAAATTTTGTGGGGAGGGAGTCTCCATTGTGCAAGACCACCACATACTTGCAGGTGGTACCCACTGCCCATATTGCCCCCCATAATGCCCTTCTTCTACAAAAAGATGTCCAGCCTGAAGACTCTAGACTCCAGGAGTGAGATGTAGCATTTTCACGATTTGTGAAGACAAGGAACACAATTTAAGTGGGGGGAGGGGGAGGATGAAGAGAGTCTGACTGAGAATGGAAAGGAATGGAATGTGACCCTGAACAGTCCAGATCCAGCCCCTCCACACTGCACACCAGGTTACCTCCCACACCCTCCTAGGAAGGCTGCTCTTGAGCTGGCTTCCAGGTCAGTAGACCACAGACATGAGAACATGGCCAGAGCCATGGAGAACCCCCTAGGACCACAGGCTGAATGCTGGGGAACATCTAATTCCTCTCACATTTGAATTCCCCTGGGATTAGGAACATGTTTACTTCCCTAATGCATCCTAATTAGTGTTACACAGGGAAACCACAGCCCATGGGTTCCCCATATACACAGTGCTGTCAAAGGTGCGGCAGTTTCTAAGCTCTGCCCCTTACTGCTCTCATGGCCACCACAGCATTTGGTACGGGCAAGCCTCTGCTGGAGGTCGTCAGAGATATGTGGATGACATTGGAGGAAATTTTCCATTAGACACCATGATTGGGTTTCTCGTTCTGCTTTGTCTACCCTTCTGTCACCTCAAGGACCCACATTTCCTCCAGGGGTCACATTATGCTCTGGTTCGCATCTCAAAGGCCTATGTGTTAAAGGCCTTGGTCCCCCGTGTGCACTTTGGGGAGGTTGTGATACCCTGAGGAAGAGGGGAGCCCATGGGAGGCTCTCGGGCGGATGGGGCGTGCCTTTGACGGGTTGTGGGACCTCAGCCCCTTCCTCAACTGCTCTGCTGCCTGGTACAAGACCAGCAGTTTGCTTCAGCTGACACTCTCACTATGACATGTGACCCCCACCCCTAAAGACCCAAAACAATGGGCCCCACTGCTGGTGGATTGGAACTTGCAAAGCTGTGAGCCAAATGAGCCTTTTCTGAGTTAAATTTCAGTTATGCTGCTATAGTGACAGAAAACTGACTACCATACCCTTTCTGGGAGAGGCTTGGCTTGGTTCCCCCAGGGGATGTGATGTCATAGAAGGAAGGGGGGTCCCTAAAGAGTCTATGCATGGGGCATTTCCATTGGGCACAGTGGGCTGAAATCATTGAGACACAGGCCTCTGATGTCCCCACGTGACATAGGCACTTAGACACAGACACACGCATTCTCATGGGTGATGGGTGATGGGGGCTGCCAATTTCCTAGGAGGTCAAGGCTGTGCCTGCACAGGAGAGAGCATGCTTCCGAGGTGGTGGGAAGAGAACTAGTTAGACATGGGGTTCTGAGTGAGGTATCCTGGCCTCTGCTCAGTCGTGGGAGCTCAGCTTTCCTTATCTGTGAAATGGGACTAGTGTTCTCGGTGCTTACGTGGAGGGACAATGTGTCACAGTAGGGGCTTTGTAAATGCTGGATCCCCAAGTGGTGGCTCCATCTGAGGGCCAGGGTTGAAAACAGCTGTCTCGGTTCTACATGAACATACAAAACTAGCCTGTGAAGATAGGCCCAGGTACTGACCTGGAGTGTCCCAGCCATGACAGTGGGGGACCACACTTGCCTTCTCGGCGCTTGCAGCCAGGGCCTGTGATGATCGACAGAGTCACTGCTACTACCTGGGCCTGTGAGCTGAGCCACTTGGCCCTCTGGCTCGAGCAGCCACCTGCTCCCAGCCGCAGGAGGTCCGGCCGCCTGACCTTTCCCTCTCCACGTCACTTTCCGATCTGCCGTGTCGTGGACCAGGCTTGGCAAGATTCTCTGAGAGAATGGGGAAAGGTTGTCTCAGATTTGACATTGTGTCAGGATCAGCTTGCTAAAGCTTCAAGCATCAGATGGAAAGCAGAGACCCTCCCCGCCCCCCAGCTCCCGGGAATCGGATACTCTCCATGGGGCTTTGGGTGGACGGCATGAAGGGCAGAGGCTCTCCTGGCCCATCTGTGCCCAGAATGCTTCAGTCTTACCCTCCTGCCAGCCATGAGCTTTGGTTTTGCAGCTCAGGCCAAGTGCCAACTTGGCATGAGGCTCTGGACTCCAGCCTGGGTCTGCCTTAGCCAATTTAAAGGAGATGGTGGTCACCCTTCTTGGGTAGGGACCATGCAACCAGTCCCACCCTGGGGCCAGGAAGGAGGTTTCCACGCCTGGGATTAATGCCGGGCTTAAGGCTGCCCTTTCAGATCCAGGCCAGGCTGTGGAAGCAGAGAAGGGAAAGACCGAAGCTCAGAGCTGTTTTCCCGGCTTCCATCTCCATATCCCAAGATAGGTCAGGGCATGCGGGCCCCTGCCTACTTCCCAATGGCAACCTTTCTCGACTGCCTCCCACACAACCATGCCCTGCATGGAGGAGAGAGGGAGCCACCCTCTGGGATGGTCAGCAGCCTAGGGAACAATTAGCCGTAGCTGTATGCGGGGGTTACTTACCACCATGTGCAGGCTCCACCACAGAGCCCTGCTGAGCTCAGGGAGCTGGCCGACAGCTCTGTCTCCCCATGTGTGCTGGCTTGGGTTGCAGCCGGGTTTCTGTTCCAGGCTGTCTGCTGGGCATTTCAGGTCGAGCACACTGTCCAGCTACATCTGTGGCTGGCAGGAAGCTGTGGTGCTGTTTGCAGGCCCTGCTGGTGCGTTCCCAGTCTCCACTCCCCTGTGAGTGTCCTCAGGGGAAGCTCTTCCACTCTTCTCTGTAGCCTCCCACCTTTCCAACGGTGCAGCCTTTGAGTGCCTCGGCAGAGTCCGCGTGCCCGCCCTTGCCAGGCCACAGCCTTGCTTCGTGAGCGTCTGCATTGATTAAGCAGTAACTGTATACGCAGGTATACATAGCATGGAAATAGAGCAGATGCATGACCCCACACCAGCATGGGAAAAGCACCTGCAATTTGAGATGTAATCACTGGATTCTCAGTCACTTCCAGATGCGCAGGGTCCAGCCCCATTTCCACACGAGGGAGTGGGATTTTTGTGGGCACGTGTGATGGTGGCAGAGGGGTGATTAGCATCCAGTTGTTTTGAAGTCATCATTTTTTTTCATTATGCCATATGGCAGTTGCCTCCTCCTCCTCCTCCTCCTCCTCCTCCTCCTCCTCCTCCTCCTCCTCCTCTTCCTCCTCCTCCTCCTCCAGCCTTTTGTTGTGGTTTGGAGACAGGTAAGGCTAGAGGTCTCCTGAGCCAACAATGCAGACACAAATGAACTAAGGTGTGAGCACAGCTCAAGCGTTCCAGGAGAGCTCCTAGGGGAACAGTCCTCATCAGGGGGCAAGGCTCTGAAGCCTGGGAGCCTAGCAGGGCCATCAGGAGATGACCTAGGGGCTATTCCCAGAGGACAGCTCAGGTGGCCGGGGGAGGTGGGAACTGTGCACCTGTATGGCATAGAGTCACATCCTACAGCAGATCAGGCTGGCCAGGGAGGAGAGAGCAACATGGAGGCTTAGGAGAGGCATCTAAGTGGGCCGGTCCTCCCGCAGGTTTGCCCTGGAAAGGGGACTCAGGAATGTATCCAGTGGGGGGTAGTGAGGGAGAGTGTGGAAGAGTCAGTCTCCAGTTGTAGTCAGTCTCCCGTAGGAGATGGCATAGGCTGGAAATTGTATTTTAAAACTTGGAGTCAAGGCTGGGTGATGGTGGCGCATACCTTTAATCCCAGCACCCGGGAAGCAGAGGCAAGCAGATCTCTGTGAGTTCGAGGCCAGCCTGGTTTACAGAGCAAGTTCCCGGACAGTCAGAGCTAAATAAAGAAACCCTGTCTCGAAAAACAAACAAGGAAACAACAACAACAATGAAAACAAACAAAAATCTTGGAATCAACCAGATGATTCAGTAACACGGGTGGCTTGTCTGTCTGCTAACCATGCCATTCTGCCCAGGTCTCCTGGACTTTCTCCTTTCTAGGGCCGGCTCCTTCTGGTGCCCTGGGTCAGCAGCTTTGGGAGGACCACACAGACCCTTCTCCTGCATGCGGCTCTCATGGGCCTCCCACACCTGCCCTCATGGGCTGCCTAGCGGTCTCTGCTCCCAGAGTCCTCTCTGGTAGAGCTTGGCTGATGGTCAGTGTGGATCCGTGAATTGTGAATAGAAGCCATGAGTGTGAGCATGTGGAGGCCTGAGTGGGTATGTGCTGTTGATATGGACACTGTCATGGCAAGGACACTAGTCTCAGGCCTATGAGAAAATGGCGAAGTCTCTCCTCCCACCCCTCACCCGAGGCGAGGCTCAGAGGGATGGTTAAACTTTCCTCTGGTCGCCGTGAGGATGCTGATAGTATGTGCAGAAAAGGTCCACCTGAGCTTTCTCCTGACCCCAATATTTAACTGCCTGGAGACTGCTCCCCCATAGAGACTGCTCCTTCCTGGCCTAGCTGTGCACCATAACCCCTGCCTCCTTGTTTATCTGTATATAGTAATACTGCCTCCTTGTTCAGCTGCATGCAGTATAATCTCACCTATGGCTCTATATTGTAAGCACACTGAGCTTCTGGGACGCTACAGTTTCTCTAGCAGAGAACCTAGTTTGGCCGACTCCAGCTTTTTCCTTCTTTGCCCCTGGGTCAGGTCCATCACTGAAGGCTCCTTTGCCCGAAAATCTATTCTGCCTCTGAAACGATGAGAGAGTAGGCGCTCCTCCTCCCTTAGGGATGACAGGTCATCTTGGCCATCATCTTAGTTGGTGACGGAGCATCTGGAATGTCTGTAGTAGACACATACTAGACATGAAGACAAGGGAAGCGGGCTCTGACTCTCTGGGTGGATGGATGAGGATGGATGGGTGGGTTAATGTGTGGGTGGGTGGGTGGGTGGTTGTGAAAGAAGGAATATGCTCTCCCAGGTGGAAAGCTGCGCCGACGTCTCCTCTCCTTGGGCTGGGGACAGGTGGAGGAGGACCCTGCTGGCTGAGTCACCTCTCCTCCTGTTTGAGTGTTTCTTTTTTTGGTCCCGCAGGGTTGTAAGTGACAGGAAAGCAGGCTGACTACCATGACCAGAGCCCTTACTCTTCAAAGATTCATCATTATTTTTTTTTTATGGGAATGTTCAAAATCCTTTCTTCTTGGTGTGTGTGTGTGTGTGTGTGTGTGTGTGTGTGTGTGTGTGTGTGTGTGTTGCTGGGGATTGAACTCAGGGCCTCATGGATGCTAGGCAAGCACTCTACTACTGAGGGACAGCCCGCTTCTGGACTTTTGAAATCTGTGGCACATGATCACGTCTGTAGCTCCCCTACTGTGCAATCACATGGGGACAGCTTTTAAGAACACGAGTGTGTGCCAGTGGCTGAGATCTGAGTCCTCACTCAGAAGGTCAAAACTGAACCAGAGTTCCCCACAGGGGCCCGGCCTGGAGGCCTGCCAGCAAGCCCAGTGCTAACTCTGTGAGCCTGTGGTGACCCAGCCGTGTGAGGCAGGACTTCCTGTTTGCATGTGGTCAAGAGTCTGAGAGTTAGAGCAGGATGACTGTGGAGGTGTCACCCAGGACTGGCTTCCTGGTCTACAGGTTTGAGGTAGGGCCCTGGACTAAGCCTGTCAATCTCATAACTGATTGTACGACTTCCACATCTTCCCTCCAAAATGGAAGCCATGCTCAAGATGGTGGCCTTTTCACTCCACTGTTAGCACAAAATCCTGAGTCAGGACAATTTATAAACAGAAGAAACTTATTTTCTCATAGTTCTGGATGCCAGGAAAGTTCAGGGTCTGGTGAGGACTTCTCCCTGCTGGCAAGATGGCAGCCTGACCCTACATCCTGACACGGTGGAGGGCAGAAGGACAAGAAGGGCTAGTTAGACCCTTCTAGACCTTTCATGGGATACAGATCCGGAACACCTGGGCTGAATCCTTGGGCCCTCATCTCCTCTTAAAGGCCCACCATACACTGTAGCCTTGGGGATTAGCTTCAGGGAGGACTCTGTTAGGACACAAACATCCAAAATACTGCCTTGACTGCCCTATCAGCCTGGTCCCTGGACAGACGAGAGACTAGTCCCCAGGACATGCACTGTGAGCCAGAAAATCCCTTCTGCTGCTAATGGTCACAGCTATTCAGGCATGCTTGTTATTACGGCATTTACCTGGTCTACTGTGTCATGTTTAAGATCCATGTTTTCTTACCAATCCCAGGTAAATCACCTCCTTTTCCATTGGCCAGCATAGCCCGTATGTGATAGTTCTGGGCTTCCTCCCACCCCCCAGCCAATCCTCTTCCATTGCTGTGCACAGCCCGAATCATTAATACCTCCAACCCTCCCTCCCTCAGACCTGAACCACTCACTCTGCTTGGAGCCTGTTGAGAAGGTGTGATCGCGATGCCAAGCCAGGCTAAGGAGCCACGGTGACTAGGTGGCCTGCTGGGAAGGCCTCCCCTGGAAGCAGGTCCCCAGTTGGCATAGAAAGCTGTTTTCACACTTGCCTTATTTTTCACAGCAGCTGGGGAGCTGCTGGCCTCCCCTGACTGTGAAACAGGCAGGGAGAACTCTCTCCTGGGGAAGGCAGCAGGGAGCAGGAACCGCCAAGTACACATACCCTTCCCAAGCCTGGCTCTGCCTCTCGGGTCATCTGGATCCTTCCCCACACCCTGTGGATGGCCCTAAGTGCCTCCTGGGCAGGACAGGTCCCACAGTGAGCAGGCCACGGCTCCTGGCCAGCAGCGGGCTGCTGCTGGGAGGTGGTTTTTTTAACAACCTCCCGCTGATTGATTTCTGCATGGGAGGGGAAGAGGTAGCCACTGCTCTGGGAACCTGAAAACTGATGCTGCTTTATCCAAATCTGTTTCCTTCTGGTTCTCAGCAGCGTGACCTTGGGCCTGTCACCCAGTGGTTCCTTCACCCCTGGGAACACTTACTGAGGCCCAAGAGGGCCCTGCGCTGCCTGCCTTTCTAGCACAAAGGAGCTGCCTGGGTAAATGCAATTCTCTATTCCCATTTTGGGGCATCGAGAGGTTAAGTCATGTAATGTAGGACACACAGCTAGTGGCCACACATGACAAAGAACTTCCTTAGCGCACTGCCAGCCTTTGAAGACCTGACTGCTCGCACGCACGTGTCTTGCTGAGACCCATTCCCCAAATGGCCTTACCATGGGCCTATTCATCCTTGGCCTCTGTTACGTCACTTCCTCTGGTCCCCTAGTGAAAACACTACAAGGACACCATGGTCATGTGACCCCAGCTGCGGTGACCTGCTGAGCCACTTCCTTGATGTGTTTGAGACCTTGCCTGCTGGTGGGAAGGAGCCACTGAAGGAAACCATGGCTGGGTGACATGTTTGCCCACCCAGAAGAGGCACGGGGACTAGGCTTATTCAACAGCTGAAAGTAGGGAAGACCTTTCTGTAGTGACCACATTGTACGCGACACAGAACCCCAGTATAGACACAGCCCAGCACAGAAGTTCCCAGAACTATAGTGTGTCCCCACCTGTGTGGTACCTCAGCTAGGGCAGGAGAGTGAGAACCCCAGCTTCTGGGGGCCTGGGCTAAGCCCAAACAACAAACTGGAGGAAGGGCTCAGGCCCTTCCGGGAGAGTTGGTGGTGTCATAGTTTCGTTTCTGCTGCCGTGATAAAATACCCTCCTGACAGGGACTACTAACAGGAGAAAGGGCTTATGTGGGTGACAGTTCCAGAGGGGCGGAGTCTATCATGGTGAAAACAAGGAGTTCGGCCAAGCTATAAAACCTGTCCCAATGCCACACTTCTCCTAGGAAGCCTCCGCTCCCTAAAGATTCCATCACTTTCCAAACAGTGTCACCAATTGGGTACCAAGTTAACACACACACACACACACATACACACATACACACACACACACACACACACACACCCCTATGCATTTCATGTTTCATATTTAAACCACAACAGCGGAGAGGTCTGTGAGCTCATGGGAGTGAGGAGGAACAGTCATAAGTCACTGGCCTGGTGCTGGGGACTCAGCTAAAGTGTGTGTACAGTGCCCTACCCAGAATGTGTGTGACCTCTATCCATCTCTTGTGGGGTCCCCAGGTCTTGCTCCCTATGGGTTAGTGATAAGACCCAAGTAATCAGTGTGGCCTAAGCCCTCACTCAAGACAGGCAAGTCCACGGTCTCTTCTCTCACAATTGAGTAGGCTAGCAATGAGAAGACATCCAGTCATGGAAGCCACCTCAAAGTTGGTGAAGAAGTAGGGGTTCCATGTGGCAGGAAGGAGATAACAGAGCAGAGGATGCCTCTGGTGAACCCCGTGCGCTCGTCCTATAGGCTGGCTGCCCCCCCACCCCCGTCCCCGTCCCCACTCTTCACTGGCTCCTGGTTAGGAGTGACCAGTTGCTTCAAGTTCATGTCAGAGTCCTGCCGTGGCCCTCTGGATCCTCAGAGGAAGGAACCAACCTGGAAAGAACACTGCAGGACTTTTAAGGGAAAAGCAACTATGACAGCTGCAGACGGGAGCTGGGATGGGTGGGAAGAGGCCTGGGTGTGACTCAGACCTGGAACTTGGGAAGAGAGAGAGGATGGAAGGGACTAGGGATCGGGTAGGAAAAGCCTCGTTCTTGCTACATCCCTGAGAAGAAATTCCCACCTCAGGCTGAGTGGATGGGCAGCCTTAGAAGGAGGCTGGGCTTAGAAAGACAAGATGGTTCCAGTGCATGGCCCGTGGTCATTATTATCTGAGCAGTGCAGGGAAGCATGCGGTGAGGTCCGTGTCACGACCGTATGCAGCTGCGCCAACTCCAGCAGGCTGTCTGGTGAAGGATGCCCATGATGAATTCTGTGCTAGTTTCTCGCTGGGACCAAACAGCAGACAAGAACCAACGTAAGGAAGAGTCTATTCCGACCCACTCTTTGAGGGGATTGAGTAGATCATGGCAGGTAAGGCGTGGCAGGCAGTGTGAATGTGAGGTCACACAGTCCGCAGTCAGGAAGTACAGATGCAGGTACCCAGCTTGCCTTCTCCTTTTGATTCAGTCCAGAACCCCAGCCCATGGGATTCAGTCCAGAACCCCAGCCCGCATCCAGAGGAGATCTTCCTCCTTAGTGTGTTGCCATGGTGAATCTAATCTAATCAAGCTGACAGTTCAGATGAACCTTCACAACTCGCCATCAGTCTCCAGGCTCTGGAGGCCCTCTGGGCCTCTTCCCCCACCCCTACCCCTTTGGCTGTGGAGCTTCTGTACCTTGCTGACTGCCATCCCTTAGATAGGTAGCTCTTACCACTGGGCCCTGCTCCCATCATTGGGCGCTTCTCCCGCCTCCCAGCTGCTGAGAGATCAACAAACTATACTGGATCACCATAAGTAGGGCAGGAATGGTCCTCTATGGATGAGTCTGGGACACAAAAAGCCTGGAGATGGGGAGGGGACACTAAGACCTCATTGTGACCACACTCACACTTGGAGCTAGCTAGAGTCCTAGGGTGGGACGGGGTCAGATGGAGCTCAGATACTGACTGGGGACCCAAGTGAAGAGGTGTGAGGCCTGGGGACATGCTGGCCTCCCTCCTCAAGAGGCCATAGCTCCTGGGACCTGTTATCTTTCTAGTTCTTTGTGGTCTTGCCTTAAGTTGACAGCGTGAGGGGAAACGGAAGCTGGAGCGGGTGGGAACCTCACTGCACGTGGATTCCCAAATCCCTCAAGCCTTGGAAGTGGGGAAGCCACGCCCCAGGAGGGTGGACAGCTTTCAGTGGGCACCACGCCCACCCTTCCCCCTCCTGAGCGCTATTTCAGCAGCTTCCTGCCTTGATTCCTCTCCTGCTCCACCCCTCTCTCTGTCCTGGGTTAGGCCTGGATAAACAGAGGCTGAGAGTCAGCAGTCTGAGGCCTGGAGAAAAGTGGAGCTTCTGGCCTTAGGCTGCTCAGTGAAGGTTGGTTTGAAACTGTGGCGTTCTGATTCAAACGGAGAATTTGGGGGTTCAGAGCTAGGCGATGCACTGGGCCCCGCCCACGAAGAATGTTTGCTTAAGGTTCCCGTCTGGCTCTTCGCTGGACTTGGGAGAGGATTCAAGGTTCACTTCTCCCACGGCAGGGACACCTCTGAGTGTGGGGACAGATGGGCACATGTGTCAGGCTTAGAGGGAGCAGGAGTTTCACCCTCCTTCCCCTAGAAGGGGCTCAGGTCCAAGAAGGAAGCTCATTGCCAAGTGGACAGGACCACACCTCGGAGACCATAGAGTCAAACACACAGCAGAACTTGCATTTTCCGCTGACCTGTCTGCATTCACAGGGACTGTCTCCCACCACCCCCGAAAGTGGGCTGTACCTTGCCTGCAGTGACCCCTACAGAGCCACTTGGAAACGACTTAAAACAGGGAACACCTCTTTGGGCTCAACCCATCTTCGGAATGTCCATCCAGAATCCCTAGGTGTCTCCGTGGCCACATGGTTGACGTTAACAGCCCTGGGACGACCTATGCTGTCCACTGGCCTTCTTTGGGGCTTCATTTCTCTCCACAGTGGCTACTGCTAATAGCACATGCCACCACCCTGCATCTGGCTCCCCCATTTGGCTGGTCACCCCCCCCACACACACACACACAATGGAAGTGTGGATGTCACAGGAAAGAGCGATGTCTGCTTTGATTGCGCTGTAGCCTCTGGACCTGCACTGTGCCCAGCATGCCACAGGAGCTCAATAAATATTTCTGGAACAAATAGAAAGGACACTTTCTTCAGAAGACGATGACGCTTTCCATCAGGAGCAGAAGACCTCTGGGGACCCTGTCACTCTGACGAGCTCTTCTTGCGGGACCTGCTTTGGGCTAGAATAGAATGCAATTCCTTTCTGGTCCTCACTGAAACCAGGGCTAGCCTGAGCCTGCTCTCCCAGGTTGGTGACAGGTCCTTCACCACGCTGTCCATGAAGTCCTGAACAAACCAGCCTTATGTGGCCACATCCGTGTGCACCCCCACGTCACTCCTCATGCTCTGGAGCCCAGCGGGACCAGAGTCTGCATTTTAACTGCATTTAGCTGTTTGGTTTGGGACTGCCTGGACTGCCCACAAATGTTCTCTTTGTGCAAGACGAACGGGAATGCTTTGTCGAAGCCATCTTGATGCCTTTCCCCTGAAGCTACTGAAAAGAGTCGGCGGCACCGGCAGCCGAGGGGAGCGGGCCTTCGCCTGCCTTCCTGCACAGAAGCGCTGAAGGGCCAACCTGCAATTAGCAGCTCAGAGTGGGGAGGCGAGGCGGGCACAATAGGAAGGCAGCGAACAGCAGCTGTAATTGCAGGGTGTGCCAGCCATGGTGACGTGCAGGGGAAGGTGGCATTATGACAGCAACCACCTATGCGTGAGCGGCTGTCGGGGTGGGGCCTGTGGGGACCGGCACGGGAGGAAAGGGCAACAGCAATACCAAGAAAAGCCTGAGCCTGGCAGCCAGAGGCCCGGCACACCTGGGCCCCGTTCTCGGCGGAGCACACCCGAGGGACAGTGGCCCCAGAGTGCTCAAAAGCCAACAGGAAACTCTTTGAGACTGAAGGGTGCAGCTTCCTGGAAACAGCCTGTCGCTGTACCTAATCTACTGTCTGTTTTTAGGACGTCATGGTCATCTTCAAACTGAAGGACCCCGGCCACCAGGGACCCATGGAGATAGCCACCCGCCAAGAAGAGGTCACCCTGGTGGACTTCCTGCCTTTGCCTGCCTGCCCTAACCAGGCAGCTCTGTGGTTGTCTGCCTTGTCTTGTAATTCCGAATGATTCTTCACTGAAGACTGTTCTCACTAACAAAGCAAGGGCACAGGGGTACACCCATGTAATCCCAGCACTCAGGGAGTCGAGACAGGAGGAGTGTGAATTTGAGGTCAGCCTTGGAGAAAGAGAGAGAGAGAGGGAGAGAGAGAGACAGAGACAGAGACAGAGACGGAGAGAGACGGAGAGAGAGGGAGAGAGAGAGAGAGAGAGAGAGAGAGAGAGAGAGAGAGAGAGAGAGAGAGAGAGAGAGAGAGAGAGAGAATATTAGCTGGGTACACCTTCTTTCAGAAAAGCAGGTACATGGTATGCACAAAATGACCTTCCACGCCAGCCTCTGAAGGGAAAGCTCCCATTCACCAAGGAGGTCATCTCCTCTGGCGGATTCTTGGAGCTCCAGATCCAGGCGTTTTTTACTGACCTATATAAAAATGTGAGGAAGGTGGAATTCAGGACACTTGTGACTCACCTGAAGACAGGGAGGTTAGAGGTTAGAGGGTGAGCAGGTTTGGCCCTCAGACCTGAGGAAAATATTAGCCTGGATGAGCCCCTGGGCCATCTCAGGCTCAGTGTGACATTGCCCAGCCGTCTCCTAGCCTCTTCTCTCTCCTTGGGTATATGCTATTCACTGCCAGCCAATCACTGTTTGCCAGTCACTGTACCAGGTACCCGGATGAAGCCCCGAATGACCCAAACGCTGCTCACCAGGGCCTCAGAGTTCACACGCAGAGAAAAGGGTATTTGATTTCATGCATGGTTAGTGCTTCGACGGAAGGAAATCTGTGGGGACTAGGGAAGGCTTCAAGCGTCTAGAGGTCAGGCTGCCCCTACTTCTTATCTGCCACATCCTCTCACCTGGAACCCCTGGACCTGCCTGTTCCACCCCGTGAAATCCAACCTGTCTCAGTGTTCATGGCCAGGTTCACTGCTTCCAAGGAGTTTTCCATGGGCCCGTGGAGGACACAGATGACCAAGTTCTGCCCCTACAGTGGTTCTGCTGCCCTTGCTCTGACCTGTCCGTTGAAGGTTCAGCGGTCCCAATGTAGCGTTTAGCTATGCTAGGACCACGTAACGAGAGGGATTTGAGTGTGAGGCAGGAAACTTCCCCTTTCTTCTGATGTCACATGGAACTATGACACTGGAGGATCTCACAGTGATTCCCCCCACCCCACCCCAGCTTGACCTCTGTGGACCAATACTCTCCCTCCAGGCCAAGAGTCTACCCACAGTGTTGGTTTGTTTGTTTCCTCAGAGGCAGATGGGCAGCGTTGCCCTTGATCTGTGGAGTGGGCAGCCTACTTGTTTGTTCCGGGACCGCATGCCAGGACCACCTTCCTAGAAGTCATCAGTGCCATAGGCCACATGGTGACAGAGGTACTGGGGTCAGGTCAGTATCTCATCATTTTTCTTGGAGAACTCCCTTGTATATATGAGCTGCCTCGGGCTTCCCTGTGTGGCTCTGGGATCGGCCAGCCTTAGCTGCTGTTTCTTCCCAGCGCAGCATGGGTACATGTAAACACCACCCTTCCCTGGGACTTCGTAGCAGGGTGCTAATGTGGAAAGAGGACCCCAGAAGCTGAGAGCAGTCTGTCATAGAAGGCTATGACAGACTGCTCTCAGCTTCTGGGGGGCTTGTCCTACATAGCAGAGTGGGGTCCTGGGCAGAGGGAAGAGGTGTTGAGCCATGGAGACTGAGTCTCTCTCCGGGTTCTGTGTGACCTTGACAGGGTGTTCCAGCCCTCCCCACCCAGCTTCCTGTGCACCCGCCGCATCTGCACCTCCTCAGGTCCTATGGCCTGCCTAGGAGAGCAGCAGCCCTCGTATTTTTCTGTCTTGCATGTGGGCAGTATCTAGTGTCATACTACAGACCAGTGGGAGCGTGGCCTGGGACTCAGGCAGTGATGGTGAGAGAGATACCAGTCACAGACAAGCACATCGTTAGGGACAGAGCTGGTCTGGGGGATCAGCTTCATCTCTTCCTGGGGATCCCAGTGTGCTGGGGGCTCTGCTCTTTAGGGACCCAGCACTAGGGACGGAGAAAACACCAGCCATGCACAAAAACCCACCTCACCAGACAGTAGGGGTCCATGCCAGAGGGACCAGACAGCCATGGGTGACCCCAGCCCCCAAGAAGGGAGTGGCTGGGCTGTCCCCCACCTCTGCCTGGACTACCCTCTGAGCACACTTCCCTCGACCACCCCCTTCCTCTTGGGCTCCCTCTTCCAGCTTTTTTCTGCTTCCTCCAGCTAGGACAGTTTTACACGTAGAATGTTTATGGAGGCCCAGCGTCAGAAGATGTTGACATCGGAGTCAGCTCTGCCCAAAGCAGACTAAGGCGGAGACCATGCCGACCCATCCACCCTATCATGGTTTTAAAACCTCCTGCCTGGGAACACAGCAGCTTTGTACTTGAAACCCAGCTCTACTTTCTCTGGAAGCTAGGGGAATCTTCAACGGAGTAGGACTGCCTTTTCCGCCCACTGATCAGCGTCATAAAGCCCTGAAAGTCTGAGACATTTTCTTGAGTCATGCAGGTCCAGGGGTGTCTGGGAAGAGTTGTGGGGAAACACAGTCTCTCTGGCCACCTCCGGATGAGCATGCTCAGCACACTGCAGAGAGACCCAGCATTGCTTGGCCAAGTAGACTGGATCACAGTATTTCAAGATCCAGATTTCCAACCGGCAGCAGGATGGTTCCCTGCTTTGGCGGTGAGGAGGCCAACTGCAGCAAGGCTCCCTGGGCTCCCCTTAGCCTGTGCTGCCTGGATGGAAGCAGACCCTGCATGTCACCTGAACCACCGTGGGCCCAGCTCCACGTGTCCCCAGCCCCAGGCCCTGGGTATCCCAGCTGGAGCGGGCTGGAGGCTCCTGTTTGCACGCACCCCCCAGCCAGTTCTAAGGACATCAGAAATAATGAAAGGAGGTAAGGCAGGGAGGGACCTAAACTAAAGGCCTCTGAGGATGAAAGCCGGAATCCAGTCTTTGCACTGGAAAAACCTGTCGTTTCTTGGGTAGAGCAAAGAGAACAGAGTATTGTCATCGTGCGTTGGTTTCATTTCAAGCCTTTGCTTTGCGGGTTTGGTCTGGTTTTAAACTTTTCTCTCTTCCCTATGGCCACTGTGCATGAAAGGCTGGGGTCAGGCCTGGCATGGGGCTGGGGAGCGGGGGCTGCCCGCTCCTTTTTGATGTCCCCAAGAACAGCTGGAAGCTTGTTCTACCTGGAGATGTCTGGCTGTCTCCTTCCGGCTAGTCCCAGACTTCGCTGAGAATAATTCTTCCTTGAAAAAAAAAATAACAATTCCCATTAAATGTTTCAAATTGCCCACGCCAAACTCAAAGCTCAGAGAGAGCCCTTTGAAGGCTTTTCAAGGGAATAAAAATAAAACCCATTCTCAGATGCTGGAGAGCTGCCGCCGCAGTAAAGCCCAGGTTCATGAAATGTGGCTGAGATAGGTGAGAGCCGGGGTTGGGGAAGGTTGGATGGGCGTATGGAAAGGATTATGGGCCCCGCTGAGTGAGGTTGCTTCCGGTGACTTCACACGCATTGAGCCTGTGCTGACCCTGTGTCTGGCTATGACCATTAATGAAACAGATAATCCCCAACAATGGCTTGTCCCCAAAGCAGGGGTCTCTTCCTTCCTTCCTTCCTTCCTTCCATCTTCCAACCAGATGACTGGGAGGAGGGGGTTACCCAGGCAGAAAGCTCACAGGCAGGTCTGAACTGAGGTCATTCTGGACCAGACTCTAAACCTGTGTCAAATGAAATTCAATTCCTTCATCCACTCAGTAAATATTGTTTCAGCATTTACTCAATGCCATCCTTCTTCTAAGTGCTGGAGAGGCAGTGGTCCACAAAACAAAGACTTCCTGGATACGTGGACTGCATGGCCCAGCAAGTCCAGGGGTAGCATGTGATAGGTCCCTAGGGTAACACTTCCCAACTGGGATGAAAAGACAGTTCTCCTCCTCCTCCAGCTCTTCCTCCCCTCCTCCCCCTTCCTCCTCTTGCCCTACATTTCTCCATCTATCTTGCTATCACATCTTCTCAAGTTGCAGAGTTCCTCCAGATCAGAGATGGTGGAAAGACAAACAGTTCTTCTCCGATGTCACCACTTGGGGTGGGGAAGGCAGGGTTCTCTCTAGATTACTGCAGGTACACCCCATCATCCATGGCCTCTAAGTAGCCGAGAGGATGCAACACACACGTGTAGACCCACACCATCACAGGGGGACCATGACAATCATCAGAAGAATGGAAAAGGAAAGGAATGGGGCTTGGGAGCAGGGGCTACCTGCTCCATTTTGATTTCCCCCAAGAACGCCAGGAGGTTTGTTCTAGCTGGAGCTGTCTCAGAGTTTGGTGCAGATGCTGTAGAGTCCAGACCCTGAGTCTGACTGTCTCCTCAGCTGCTGGACACTGGGTAACCTCAGGCAAGTAATGTCACCTATCTACTTCCTCTCCCCGAAAAAAAATGGGGTTTATGGTCGTGCCAACTTCTAGGCTTGTGTCCTCTGCTTCTTCTGATCCAATTTTGGGAAGGCCTCTAGAATTTTAACTTCAGAGACTCGTGATCCAGACTCTGCTTGTGATGGTCACGGTGACATGTTATCAGTGCTGATGTCACCTCCAGCTCCAGCAGAGGTTCTAATGTTTTCAAGTGAGCTACTCCCAAACCTGAAAGGGTAAAAAGGACCCTGACATTGGGGCCCACTGAGCAGGGCACGGATCATTCCCAGGGAATTCTGAACCTCCTTACTGGGCAGTAACCAGTCTAAGGATTTGGGTTTGTGTCCAACATAGGCAGTTACGGCTGCATCTCAGAGCCTTCCGTCACCTCCTGTCTCCCATACCTTGCGAGAGGAATCCTTGGCCCAGTGCACATCTGGATCTACCACTGATTGGATGGGCAACCTCAAAGAGACTAGACAGTTCTTTCAAGGCCTTTGAGTTCCATGTTTCTCATGCATAAAATGAGCACATTAGAATGATGGTTTCTGCTGGGCAGTGGTGGCACATACCTTTAATCCCAGCACTCGGGAGGCAGAGCTAGGCGGATCTCTGTGAGTTCAAGGCCAGCCTGGTCTACAGAATGAGATCCAGGACAGGCACCAAAACTACACAGAGAAACCCTGTCTGGAACCCGCCCCCCCCCCCAAAAAAAAAGAATGGTGGTTTCTAAGGACGCTTGGCTTAGTGCCAGGTAGAAGGACAGAGTCCCCCGCCCTCCCAGAGGACAGGGCTTTGGAATAGCATAGTAGAGTTGACTTCACCCCAGTCCAGTCCTACCCACCATCAACATAAAGGCTTCCTCTTCTACAGCACCACTATGCAGTTCAATTTTCATTCTCTATTTGATCTGCTCACTATCTATCTCATATTCTCTTCTGGTCTCCCACCCTCAGTTCCCCTGAAGTCTCACCCACCCGGCTGTCCTCTCCCCGGCCCAAACGCCCCTCCTTAGCTGTAGGAAGAGGACAGTCTTTTTCCTAGCCATATTATTAAGTTATCTGATTATCTCCAGCGGACTTTCAGATTTGAAAAAAGGTAGATTGGATTTAAAAGAAACAAAAAAAAAACAACCCCCCCCAAAAAAAAACCCACATTGCTATTTCTTGATTTTTTTGTTTTGTTTTGTTTTCATTCCCACTGTAAGCTCACTGCTTGTGAGCATCTCTGACCAAGAAAAGACTGGATGTGAGAATGTAAGCAAAAGAAAAACTCAGGGAAGAATCCTTTAGACACCATCTTTGTGTGGGGAACGGGAGGCCGCTGTCACTTAGTGCAGGATGGCAGGCGGGGGAAGGGAAGGAACCGCTCTGGTAAGCCAAGAGGGTGGCCAAGGTTTAACCTTCTGAGGGCATCGTGTTTGGAGCCCAGCTGTGTGCATTGATGAGGCCCATTTAAATATTTAGAATAATCAGCAAATTCATTTTTGGAATAGGAAATGCTTGTATGTTATTATTAATAATTATTATTATTACTATTTTTTTACTCAAATGGTGCAAACTGAAATGGAGTGAAATCTCAGGCTTACTCGAACCCCAAGCTTTTGCTTGACTCCCAGGAGAGCTTGTACCAGGTAAAACATTGATTGCCTGGAAGCGTTTGTCCCTTTGTATCTGGGTATGTGTTGTGCAGATCCTGTAGCTGTAGTAAATGTGTTTCTGCACCCTGCTTCCCTCCCTAGCCTTATGTCTTGGAGCGCATGTGCCACCTGCCCCATTTAGAGTTACCTTGGGGTAGATGGTTGCAGGAAGTGGAGAAGGAGGGCCTCGGTGCCTGTCCTGGGGTGCAGGGACCGAGCCTGGCACCAGATGCTTATGAAACACTTGGATGCCCCTGGGAATGCTACCTTCCTCTTGGACCTGTTGGTCCAGATTACTGATTAATATTTTCAATAATAATGTAAAACTCAATCACTGAGTCCAAAGAGAGTTCATCTTTATAGTAGGGGCATAGCTTTAAGATTCCATCTGGTCTTGGTTAACATCCTTCCAGCTGTTTCTACACAGTTCCAATCAACGAATACATGCCTTTTAATATCACCATTCCTAAGCATTTCCCTGTACTAACATAAGATGTTATCGTTTTGATTTGCAATGGAAAAACTGTATCACTATGTTTTTCCATCACCCAAGCATCTATGGAGTTGATCTTTTTGCCAGAGTTCTCTTGCTGGCATTTAAATACAACGAAGAATGCAAAGTATGTCTTCTGAAAACTGCCGATCAACTTTGAGAAGAGCTCAGCTCTCTGTGACTCTACATGTAAAGATTTAAAGCCTCAGGAGTCTCACATCCCCCTTCCCCAGCTTCAGAAAACGGCCCACCCCAGCCCATCTTCGTCACACATGCCCTTCCTCAGAGGTTCTTGGCAGTGGAAAGTCTTAGTAAACTATGTCAAAGGCCAGGAGCCAAAAATCACGCCCTGAGCTAGCCAGGAAAACATTCTCCTCCCTAGCCATGCCCTCTTCTCACCAACTCCGATCCCCCCAGGCGCCTGGTAGAAAAATCACTGAGCAGAACCATTGGGTGCGTTGATAGCTACCACTTCTGGGCACGACATCCCCTGAGATTCTCACTGGATCCAGTCAGAACAGAGCACAGACGGTCCTCTGGGAGTTCGCCCTAAAGACGAAATGCTTGGTGCAGATGTGGGTAACCAGAGTCACTGTCACAAAATGCAAAGAGTGATGCTGGGACTGGCCCAGTCCAAAAACAGCTGTGAGAGGACTGAGTCCCAGAGCACATCCCATGGTAAAACAGAGTGGTCAGCGCTATTAGTCCCGGATCCTGGAGAAGAGCTGAGCTGAACAACAGTGGGAGCATTAGCCAAGGATACTGAGCTACAGGATGGCAGAGTTCTGATGACAGCCTGGGCGTGTGGACTGAATACAAGCTCTGAGAATAACTGAAATATGAGTGTCTGCCTTCCTTCCTCCTTCCCTTCCTTCCTTCCTTCCTTCCTTCCTTCCTTCCTTCCTTCCTTCCTTCCT